CCAGCAGCATACCTCCCCAAGGAATTCGTTCCCCTCAGCAGTCTGCTTGTGCCATGGTCAGGGGTAGAAGAAGTGGACAGGTACAATTAGTTGATAGCTGCAGTCTAGTAAGACCAGTGTGTGCACTTTTGTTTGGTGCTGGTTTGCTATTGTAACTGAATAAACTGATAACTGGTTAGGCGTTTTTGCTCTTTACTGTTACTCTGGTGGAATGTTTCCTGTGAATGAATACATGGTATCATCTGTTACAGAAAGGTAGGTGACAGAACTTTAATTTAACGTGCTGTAAAATACGCTGTGAGTTTAATTAAACAGCATACCTGAAATACTGAAGTATCTTTGTGTTTAGGAAGTAGTAATCACCTGTGCTCTAGATGTTTTCTAGGGCATCTTTTTATCCTCTACTTCTGCTGATTGACTTTGTCAGAAATTAATTTAGTGCTGTTCTCTTGAGGCTTTGACAGATAATTGTGTGTGAACACTATGCAAATGTAGCATTTTTCAAATATGAAATATTTGAGCAGAATAGCTCAGTAAGTCTCATAAACTCACTTTTTAATGACACAATACTTGTGAACTGCCACCCTGAATGAATATAGTTTAGTAATACAACACTCCACCCACCCTGGGTTGTGTGTTTTTTTTTTTTTTTCCCCCCCCCCTCCCCTCAGAAAATACCTTTGCTAGCTCTTTTTACCATTGATTGTGAATTTTTAGCTTTTGTGAATTCAACTTCATTTAGTTCAGGAAACAAGAGTCCTGTACTTCTTAGTGATTTTTCATTCTACTTGTAGCATTGCTAAGTAGAAGGAAAGTGAATTGAGTGAGTGTGTCTTTCCAGAACCCATGTCTAACACTCAACAGTTACCATTAACTAAACCTAATAAATAATACATGATGGGGATATTTTGAAGCCTTTTTTTTTACTTCATTTGACTGGGATTTGGTGCTTAGCCTTGACTTTTGTTGATGTTTTCCCTTACCCCCCTTTGCTGTCCTCTGGTGTGTTTTAACTACAAAAGTTTAAAAAATGTGAAAGACTTTAACTGGTTTGTATACTACTGACTGTTTCACTAATCAATATTTAATATGGTTTTCATAGGATATATAACATGACACTGATATTCTGGACAGGTAATTTTCATTGTTTGAAAACCTTACATAATAAGGGGAATCAGGTATCCGCTAGAAATGAGCACCTTATTAATTTATTTTTTTAGCATCATACTGCCAAGGATCTGTTTTGTGAAATCTGCTCTTGAAGAACCTGTAGCTTCTTACTGTTGCCAGTAGCATCAAAATAGTTCTGAAACTGTCATAGTGAAGTTAATATTTAAAGGGACACTGTCACTTTTTGAAATGTAATTTACACTCCGTTCTACAAACTCCCTCACTGAAAGTTTGCAAGGCTGTTTAGTGGAATTCAGAACAATGTTAAAGGGGTGAAGCTAGTCCCCTCCAGCTTCTCCTGGCTGCCCTCCGTGTGCCCGTGCCTGCGTGTCGCCGCTTTGGCTGCAGCTTTGCTGTGGCTGTGCGTGCCCCGTGCGGGGCCGGGGGAGAGCGTGCATGCGTGGGCTCCAGAGCAGTGCATGGGAGGGCTGCTGCTGCTGCTGCATGTACTGGGCGAGTGCAGGGGCTCCGAGCGAGGTGCTGCTACCACGTACATCTGCTAATGGGGGCGTGTCTAACCTGATCTTTTCTCTTTGCTTATGAGCTGTGGAAGGAGAAACTCCTGTATGGTTAATGTGAGAATTTCACTATGTAAAAATGTGATCTCATGAATTTGACCGTGTCCCTTTAAATTCTACATGCTAGGATGTATAGCTGCCAAATGTGTAGGTGCTGCTACTGAGTGGTGCAGCTGATTCGATAGAGGTAAGGAATACCAGCCAGAAGGACCATGACAGGCTTACAGGCTTGAAAGGTGGGCCTTTGTGAACCTCATGAAGTTCAGCAAGGCCAAGTCCTGTGCCTTGGTTTGGGGCAGTCCCTAGTACCAGTGCAGATTGGAGAATGAATGGCTTGAGATCAGTCCAACAGAGAGGGACTTGGGATACTTAAGGATGAAAAACTGGACATGAGGCAGCAATGTGTGTTTGCAGCCCAGAAAGCCAATCATATCCCATTGTAGCTAATGGTACAAGAGAGACATGGTCCTGTTGGAGCAGGCCCAGAGGTGGGCCCTGAAAATTATCAGAGAGCTGGAACTCGTCCCCTGTACAGAAAGGCTGAGAGAGTTGGGGTTGTTCAGACTGAAGAAGGCTCTGGGGAGACCCTATTCTAGCCTTTCAGTACTTAAAGTGGGCTTGCAAGAGAGACGGAGGGAGACTTTTCACCAGGGCTTGTAGTAACAGGACAACAGGTAATGGTTTTAAACTAAGGGAGGGTAGATTTAGTTTAAATATAAGGAAGGAATTTTTGTGCTGATGTTGGTGAAACACTGAAACGGGTTGCCCAGAGGGGTGGTAGGTGCCACACTCCTGGAAACATTCAAGGTCAGGTTGGACAGGGCTCTAAGCAGCCTGCTCTATTTGAAGATGTCCCTGCTTACTGCTGAGGGTCGTTGGACTAGATGACCTTTAAAGGTCCCTTCCAACCCAAACCATCCTGTGATTTTATGAAGCAACCCAGAAAAGGATGTTTCTTGCTGAAGTCCTCTGAAATGAAGTAGCTTGACAGCAGAGGGCAAGTGGAAGTTAACATAGTTAAAACAATGCCTGGTAAGGCATAAAATGTAGTAACATCTCTGTGTGTAACTATAGCTCAGGAGCCATATCTGGCAGGAATGAGAAATTAGATTTTTTTTTTTTTCCCCCCTATAGAAGTTAAGCGAAATGATGTTAACTGATTTGTTGTTTTATGTAGCTGTGGATATATAATATAAAACATTTCAACACGTATATGTTTGTTCACACAGAATTCAGAGCTTTGGGCCTTAAAAAATTAATCCCAAACACTGCAGAAATCAGTAAACTGAAAGCCACTGAAAGAGTGGTTCCCCAGGGAGGTGGGAGGGTTGGGGAAGAGAAAAGACTATACGCATGTTTGAGATCTGATCGTATCTTGCAAAGAAACAGTAATGTGATGAGCAGTGAAAAACTGTTCCAAATTTCTTGACCATGTGTCCAAGAACAGGAAGATACTTAGTGAAGCCCAGAAAATTGGCAACAACTTGTTTATGGGATGGGCTTTTAAACATTTCAGTCTTGTCTTTCTGTGGTAGAGCAATGTAACCACAGTGAAAAAAGAAACCTGCTCAAATAAGAAACTACTCAATGGTAGTTCTTTCTCTGCTTTCTTCTTTGACTTGTGAATATAGCTAATTAGTTATGGCTGATTAATCACACATAAAAACCTCTGATGGGAGTAGGTGCACGGGAGGACTGTGCAGAGTCCAGGGGAAAGGAACAAAATAATTTCAGTGCAGTACAGGTGCAATCTGAATTTTATTTTACATTCACTATGGAATTGGTGTCAGGTTACTGGAACTCGGGTGTTCCAAAAGCTAATTAAAATACCAAGTTTTAAATGAGAAAATGAGAGGATAGATGGGCATCAAGCCCATAAATAAATCTAGTTTAATTTTGATATAAATTTATATCTTGATATATTTTCATTTTGTGACATAAAACCGCAAGCAAATTTATTCGTGATGCATACATTTTTAGCAAGATATGCTTTTCCTTGGCTTTATGATCTGTTAAAAAGCTGAAAATGCCATGTCAAACTCACCAAATTGGTTAATGCCTGGTCTTGTTAATAATGATGGTGCTCATTCCTAGCTTGAGATCTAGTGTCTCGGTGAATCTGAAATTGGAAGTGGCCCTGGGTTTGGTTTAATTTTTCTCTGATCAACTTATTTAAATGGAAGCGCAGTTGCCTTGTTAGCTTTGCCAACTCTGCTCTCCTATTTCCCTGCAAACTGTTGCATATATTTTAAGTTGTAATTGTTGTTTCAGAAATTATTTATGCTGGAGAATGAATTGTTATGTTTTTCTCAATGTTCATGATTGAAAAATTTTGAGTTATTAATCCTAAAACATTTGGAATGTTTAACCACTGTTATCCTGTGAAACTAAAAGTAATTTCTGTTGAATAGCATGTTTAAATTAAAATAAAAAAGTCCAATAATTAAATGTTTGTAAAAAATAAGATTTTGACAGTAAGGAACATATTCTCCATATTTATGCAAGAAATCAAAGGTAATTGATTTTTCTTAAACAGGGGAAAGCAGTAGATCATGCATGGTAATATGAATTAGTGATACTGTCAGGTGTTTTTAGGTATATTAAAATGCATATTTGGCTTTTAATAAACTGGCAGAAATGAAGAACAGCCTCATAAGTCAGTTGCACTTTCACTCTTGTAAGTTTATGGGCACTTTTACTATCAAGAAGGTGAAACGGTGAGCTGTCAAAAATGGTGGAAAGTACTTGTCACAGCTTCTGGGATTAAAATTAATTTCTGTTTATGTGTAAACAAGCACATCTATTAAGTTTTGTAAAATAACACTTAAAGTTGCATAATACGTTTTTAACCTGACAGTGTCCCTAAATTATCATGTCTGTTTGCTTTCATTTTCCAGCTGGGTTTTAATTTTGCATGCATTTCAGTGAAATATTGTATGCATAATAGTTGTTTCCTGGAAGCATTTTGGGGCTGTTTCTGCTAGCATTCTCCAAAATGAGCAAGGTTGTGGAATTTATTTTCCTTTTTTGGAGGTTTGTTACCTAATGTATAAGTAATGCAGAAGCGATTCCTCTTTATTTTCATATGTGCATATGTGTTTTTGAACTTAATGTTGTTTGAAGAACAGCTGTAAGTAATAGGGTTCCTTCTCTTTAATGACAACCTAAATATCTCCAAAATTTAGTAGAACTAAATACTTCCATTTTGAGAAAAAAATTTTAAACCCATTAGTTTGGCAAAGCAATTTGTAACGTGTGCTACTTGTCCTCAGTTTGTCCTAGGAGCCCCCGTGAAGCTGGTTTTCTGAAGTAATGCCAATAGAAAGTGGAAGCTGTGCATCTGCTCGGCAAGCGAAGCAGAAGCGCAAGTCGCACAGCCTCTCGATCCGGAGAACCAACAGCTCCGAGCAGGAGCGGGCGGCCCTGCAGCGAGACATGCTGGAGGGGCAGGTAGGAGAGTGTGCTGCCGCTGCTGCTGCCCCGGGAACTCCCTAACGTGTGCACGAGGAGAGCTTTCTGCAAAGAAAGTCAATCAGCTTAACTCATGAAATGTGCCCAGTACAGCCGCAGGAGCATCAGACTTGGTTCCGAGTGCTGGCTGTGTGTGGAGGCTGCTGGCGGGGACGTCGGCAGCATTGCACGTTGTGTTCCCACAACCCTGGGGCTTTTTATCAGCTTTTGTGTATTCTACATGAATGATAAAACCATGAAGAAATACAAATAAACAGCCTATTTCCGTTGCTGTAGCTCCCCTCACCTCCCCGTTTTAAAGTTGAAGATCGATTCTTGATTTCATAAGTTTGAGTTTGGAATAGTAGTAGGCCAGGAAAATGGATAATCCAAAATATCTGTTCCTGTGACTCTGATATGGAAGGTATGAGTGAGAACTCGGTTCTGCATTCCTTTCCATAAAGTAAGCAAATGCTGCCTGCTTGACAGGCCTCAGAGAACTTCAGTTTTAATTTGTGGTAGTGTTTTTTGTTTTGTTTTGTGTTTCTGATGCGGCTTGGGTTGGTTGGTTTGTTTGTTTTAGTTTGTCTCAAATGAAAGTGTGATCTGTGTGCTGAACTTAAGGGAAAGAATAACGACCCGCTAACTTCTGTAGTTTTCTTAATCCTATCAGTCTGTGTAGTGAACACCATCTGGAGCCACTTAGAGTGTTTTGCCTAACAGTACTGAGATTAACAGTAGCTGAGGCTCCTGGAGGATTTGTTTGAAGTAGTGCTGCCAAAGATAAGCAAATACCAGTTTGGAAGCTATTTATGGTCAATTTGACAGTGCAATATTAATGCAGGCATGGCAAAGATGATGCAAAAATTTATTTTTGCCAGAGAGCTGATTTGACATATTAACAGTGTTTGGCTATGAGAAACCCCAGTTTCTAGACTTAGCAGATGAAGGGAAATCCTTGTGTTTTCTCAGCGTTGTAACCTGTTTCTTTAAATTTCTTTGAATTAAATCTGTTATTCAGTAATTTACAATGCTAGTTTTTGGGTAACTATCAAAGCCTAAGTTGTAACTTCTGGCTGTCTAGAACTTGAAGAATGTAAGTACTTAGATATAAAACTGCATTTGGACTATTACAGCCTTACTTCAGGAAAGGAGAGGAGAGCAGCTGAGAGGTCAAAGCATGCTGTTATTTCTGCAGAGTAGTCCAAAATTTTAAGCTGTTTAGTATTTCTTATCAAACTCTTTAAGTGTATTATGCTGTAATATGTAAATGTTTTATCTATCGTCTTATTTAATTTTGTTGACCTTTAACCTTGAACAGCCAGTGGCAGATTCTGGTGAGTAGAGAGCATTAATGCCCCTTCACAGTGGAGCTGTAAACCACCTGAGATCTAGATAAGTACTTTTGCAGATAAACAGATAACATTATTACATAGTATTTTAATAAACTAATTTAAATAATGCCAACTTTAAAGAGAGTAAAGGAAATGGATGTGTTTTACTATGCTGGTTACTTTAGGAGAGGTTTAGATTTGCTTATGCCTTCAGGCTTTTGAGAAGTGGATTTAAAACTTTTCCTATGTCTCCTTTTCTGTTTCAGAAATTGTGGGATAACTTAATTTCTTTCATAACCTTGCTGTATGGAACTGTGGGATAATTGAATCAGAAATAATTCTAACTTCAGTGTTTTTCTTAATAGTGTTTCATTTGTAGTGTTTTTGTTTAATCAGTTTTCTTTCAAGCTGGTTTTCATCAGTATCTGTTTAATTTTCTGACTGAAGGCATGAACAAAAATACTGTCTCAAGGGGGAGGTAGATGAAGATGTGGAGAGGAATATTCTAGGGGAGCAGAAGGAGCATAGTACAACTTGTTGGAGTGCAGCGACTGCTTCCGCACAGTGCCACAGCTTAACGCAGTTGTGAAGCTGGTGTCAAGCTGAATTGTGCACAAACCAGCTCTGCTCTGTGTCATGGCTCTTAGTGGTTTCTCTTGCTCTTCTTTTTAAAATTGGTGTTCAGAAGTAACTTACAAAGTCGGGATCACGCTAGGATTTTCAGATTGTTTCTGAAGACAGTCATCTTGACTGTGAACCGAGGTGTGAGTGAGATCAACTGCAGGTTGCGTGGGTGCTGACTTGACTGCAGGCGCACGCTGCCCTCCGATGGCTGCTGTGTGCGTGTTTCCTCCCGGTTCTGTCACTTCGCGGGAATGGAGACAGTTTCTTTTGGTTTGGATTTGCTGGGACACTGAAGAACAAACCAAGCTATAACTGTCCTTCGACTTGCATTGAATAATGAAGTTCACTCCAGTTTAAGTGGTGTCCTGTGCTAACGCTTGTACTCCCTTTCTAGTAATGCTGCTTCTGTTCTTCTAGACTGTAATAGTGGTGTGTTCTGTGGCACAAGCTGACTTGTTTGTGTTCATAGCTCATTTTGAAAGATTTTGAAATTACATGCTTTTGCTTTGTTTAAAAAAACCCCAGGTGTTACTGATGATTCCCTGTATATTTGATAGATGAACTCTTGATTTATTGATACTATGGTATATGTGATACCATATTAATTTCACTTTGAATTTTGGTAATTTGTTCCCTTGTATAGATACTTCCAAGTTTTTGAATACAGCTGCATTATTTACAGATTTGTCCAGTAATAAGATGATGTCTTACTGAATTCTGAGATATGGTACAAAGGAATAGTTGAGCTTTTTTTATCATTGGAGTAGGGCTCAGTTAAGCAGAAATTTCTTTTAAAAAAGTTTATGGCTGGCTACCTAGATAAATAATAAGTGCAGTAAGGTGACTTACACATTGTGGTCCACCAGCAACTGAAGAATAGAGCAGATTGAGCAGAATTTATTTACATAGTGAGCAAGGACCATTTAGCCTTTATCCTGTAATTGTGGTGGATTAATTGATTATAGCTGTTAGATAATTACAGTATTTTCTCCTTTCTAATTTGCCTTCTCTTAGTGGCATGCTGCACTTTAAATTTGAGTCTAGCACTAACAAACATCTTAAGTGTCCTGCAGTTGGTTGTATTTGGCTTGGATACTCACTGTGTGCTCAACACTGTTTGATGGCAGAATGTTGGTATAGTGAGAACCTCGACTCCCAACAGAAATTTGTAATTCCTTGTTTTGGAAATGGTGTGCACTTATTCAGGGAAAATGTGGTGCTTATCTCTGTTTTATAGGCAGATGAATAAAATTTAAGTAACTTGCCAACAGAAACTTGTGGTCAAGCTATGTATTGAGCTCAGATCCTATAAATCCCATGTTAGTGGTTTTATTGCATGCATAGTTTTGTGCCTTGGAATTGCTGTGTTGATTATGCTGAAGAAAAGAATCAGCTCTCTGTGAATTTGGTTCAGAATCCTTTATGTGAAGAGGAGATGCTTGAACAATATCTGGGAAGGGAAGGATTAGAAATCGGAGTTTGCTTTTCAGTTCTGGTTAGTGACAAGAGGTAAATGTTAAAAACACATTTAAAAGGTCAGCTTGTCTCCACCTGTGGTAATAAGGTGCTTTGTGATGACAACTTCCTAACCTAAAGCATAATCAGCTTCTGAATTACTTTGTCAGCCAAACATATTCTTTCTTCTTGAACTTGAAACACCTTGACATCATATTTTAAATTTTTTTTCCACTTTTTTTTTTTTTTTGGTGAGTAGTACATGTATCTTGGTTTTATACTTTCTTTTCTAGTACAAAAAAAAAAAAATCCCCCACAGGTAATTCGAATTCTGTGCCTTGAAATAGAGCATGTAAAATGAATAATTTTATGGTGCATAGAGCTTTTTGTTTTGTATTTTACACTAGTAATTGTTTTAATTTCCCCCATTGCTGTGAGATGGAGAGAACTGTTAAAATCAGTTTAAGAATAAAGGTTAACTACATAAAATATATGTAAGAAGGAAAATACAAGTCCCACTATTTTGCTTCCCAGGATTCCAAACTACCATCTTCTGTCCGGAATACACTCCTTGAACTTTTTGGACAAATAGAGCGGGAGTTTGAAAATCTGTATATAGAAAATTTGGAATGTGAGTATCTGTTTTTTCTAGCAACTTATGAATTGTTTGGATTTAGGATATAGTAATGCTAACTGAGACGCTTGCCTTGGATACTCTTGTGGGGCATTTAAGAATGGTTTTGGACTTGTAGCCAAAGATGGAGTTGGCACCCGTTCAGCAGAATCACTTTCCTAGCTCTTAGACACAACTAGTGAGAACGGATGTGTGTCACCCTCCTTCTCTTGGGCAAAAAAGTGCAGTGGCTGTCTCCTTGTCATTCTAGGCTCTGCTGTATGACCTGTTAATCTGGCAGGAACTTCATTCAGACATTGAAGTTTGTTCCTTTATTGTATATTTACAGACTTATTGATGTAATATTAGTAAATAAAATTGGAAAAGTGTGTTTTTTAGAGTGTAAAATGTGTTGATTTTGGGTCATACTACTTAGTACATTGCATAACCAGCACCTGGTTCATGAATTTTGATGTTGAGCACTCAGATAAATTCCAGGTATTACCTGAAAAAAATGTTATTTTTTTTAAAGGCAGTGCAGTCATATGGCAATGTAAGTGATCCAGGGTGCTGGAAGAGGATCCAAACTAAATAAGCCAGTCAGCCATACAGTAAAGCCTCTGCTCAGTTTTCATTGCTGGTGTTTGGAAGCTGTACTGTGTGGCTTAGCTTCTGAATTGTGGAATCTGGCTGGTTTGGCTCCAAGTCAAATTTTTTTTCCACATGTAATCTGTTCCCACAGTTAAACCAAACACTTATATTAAAAAAATATTCTTGTGGTTTTTGAAAATTTGCTGATTTTCTTTTTTTTTTGGATTCTCTTAAAACCTGAGATTATGTCCGTTAAAGGCTGTCATCAACCTTACACATTTTTTAGCAGCAATTTGCGCAGCTGAATTCTCAGTCTTCTGCTGAGTAGTTGGCTCTTAGCAAGAAAAGTAGGGTTTTCTTCCCCAGCCTTCAAAAATATTTGTCAGAAAACAAATGATGAATTCATCTGTACCCTCCAGAGTCTGGTTATTATCCTTCCATTCCATTTGTTTCTTCTTCATCTTCTTTCTTCACAGTTCTAGTTCACTCCTGGCCTTTGTGATCTCCTTGCATGCCCTGACAATTTCTAAATTTTTCTCTTCTGGTGCTCAATCTGCTGGTTTTTGTTCCTGGTCTCGTTCTTACGCGAGTGTTGTGGTTACCGTACATACAGAACCTCAGATTTTTCCTCCCTGGATTTTCATATTCTCCCTTTCCCTTATTACATCTAATATTTTCTTTTTTAATCCCTTCCAGGCTTCAGTCTTAATCCTTTCAGGCACCTCTTGGATCTGCCTGGTTTGTTTGTTTTGGTCATCTGTTGCTGCAAGCCTGTCTCTTTAATTCTCTTTCGTATTGTCTGTTTTCTAGAAGTTTAAGTTACTCGGAAGGCAGGAAACAGAATCTTGCTTTGCTCACTTCAAGCACTGGGTTGTGGTATGGAAGTGTAAACTGACTTCTAGTGCTTAGAACTGACACTGCAGTAAATTTCTCAGAAATGGTGAGAGTCATACTCCTGAAACATCATCATGTTTTCCCACATTTCAAAACCTGGGAGTGAATGACTAAGCCTGGACTTATTCTCAAGAACAGCAAAGATGTGCTTAGTTAAAGCCTCTCACTAAGATTTCACCCAAGGAGATCACTTAAAGACTATCAGCCCAGATTTTGAGAAAAAACCCTATAAATAAGCCACTGAAAATATTCTTTATAGAATGAAGTCGAGCAACTTTAAATCAGCTCAGCCACTGGAAATCATTTATGAGTACCTGTTTCATTTTAGTTATGCCATTGCTCTGTCTTGTGTTGAAATGACACTGGTAAGAGTTATAAGTAACTGACAGAAAAACATATTCTTGTTACAAATACATGCTTTGTCTGGTGTGCAGTGAGAATATTTTGATTGTATGTAGTGGTTCTAAAAGAGATGAATGTAAAAATGTATATGTAATTCTAAAATTTTATATGTATTTCAAAGTATGAAAAAATACAATTGCTGCACTGCCTTTCTTACTGAAGCTAACACTAGACAAGACATTCAAGGGAGAACTAGTCTGGTTCAATAAAACCTTTGTCAAAAAATGCCACACTAATTCTGTGGCTAAATTATTTATGATGCTGCAATTTTTCTGTCTTCTGTTGCATTTAATTGAATACAGATGTACCATGTATTTTATGGACGCTGTTTTTTTTTAATCCATAGCCACATTTATTGCTAAAAGTAACAGTAATTAGAAGCCACCAGTACTTTCCTTGGAATCTGGGACGAGGTTGATCTCTGGAAATTTCAGCATGAGTCTTGGTTTATGTCTTGGGGAGACCTGCTTTTATAAAATCACAGCTGATCTCTTTTTCTGTCCTTTTCCTGACTAACTGTAACAATTCATAAATAGTATGTTAATGATCTTGTTAATGACACTAATTTTTTTGTATTAATGTGAATTTTTGGTTTTATTAGTACGTAGAGAGATTGATACCCTGAATGAGCGTTTAGCAGCTGAAGGGCAGACAATTGATGGGGCTGAACTGAGCAAAGGACAGCTGAAAACAAAAGGTAAGAGAACCACAAAGAATCCTAAATTAGTATTTTTGATTTTTTTTTTTTTTTTTACTTTGCTGGCCAATGCTTAAAATTTTGTTGAAGGGAATTAATACCAGTTATTTGCACAAATAAGCTAATGCTGCATTTGAAATATCTTCCTTTGAATTTATGTCTCAACAGCCAGTCATAGTACCAGTCAGCTTTCTCAGAAATTAAAGACAACTTACAAGGCATCTACTAGCAAGGTATGAGACAAATTAAACCTCTCCTTGTCAATGTGTACTCATGAGACTAACATGGATATCTTGAAGTTTTAAGTTGTGTTTTCCTTATGCTGAGTAGTGCTGTTCTTTAAGTAAATCTGCCTCATGAGCAACAGTCTGTCTTGGATGCATCAGTTACCCATTACTTCACCCATGCTATATGATGTTTTTACAGTAATTGCTCACCTTTTTTTTAAGAATGAATGTTGGGGGGGAGGGAGTGTGTGCACATGTGTGTATGTGGGATTACTCTTTTGTAAAGAGAACTAGAGAGAGAAAAAATCAGTTTAATGAAGGAAATAGAGAACTTAGTAGGTAGTTAATTTCTGATAAAGATTTGGATATTGCAGTTGAAATGGGGATTGAAGCAGGCATCTCTAGGTATACTAATACAGATTCATTTTGTAAAACAGTTTTTTTTATTCTTTAGCTGTGGGACTAGAATAGTTTTTCCTTTATGTTGCAAGCCTTGCAGATCAGTAACTAGTGATCTTTTTTTGCTTTGTCTTTTATCACAGTTAACCTTTCTGGTGTTTTTCATTTTGCACATCTGCATCTGTCTGTCACCTTTCCAATCTTTCTGTCCCCTTTTTCAATTTTCATAGACAGTTTACTTGCTGCTCCTGTTGCCATATCTCAGGGCCATTTCGTGACACGTTATTAAGGATAAATGAAACGAGTAAACCACAGTGAGGTCTGGTATGTGAACCAACCATATAGAAGCTCTGTGGTGATCTGTATTGCAGGCTAATGTGTGGTTACAGAATGGCTGTAGGGCGTTTTGGAAATACCAACTGTTAAGTAATCTGAAAGTTTGAAAGTAAGTGTAAGAGCAGTGTGTTGAAATAGATCTGTTACTGTGTTTTATTTGCTCTCCTTTTTTATTTTATTGTTTTTCAAACTTTCTTTTTTATTCTTGCCAATCTGGTGTATAGGGATGCCCCTTCCTTTTCCTGATGAGTTAGTGACTTAAACTCATTAACGAGGCCACTTAAATAGGGAAAACATGATATTAGTAGGGAAAATATGGTATTAGTACACCTACTTTGTAGTTATGTATTAATACTCTCTCTAGTGTAGTGTTGGTAGGGTTTTTTTGGTTGGTGTGGTGGTTTCTTTTGTTTTGTGGTTCTAAGGCTGCAGTTGAATCCTTGTTGTCTTCCCCTTGCTTGCAATGGAGCGCTCCTGTTCTTTCCTGGGTGAGGCAGGTGGACCTTGCAAATTCAGCGTGGGAAGCTGGGAGATACGGGGTGGAGACTCTTGGGTGACCACTTTGCTTTCCAGTGTTCTCATATGCATGCCCAGCAAAGCAGTCATGAGTAGTGGAATGTGAAGAATCTAATACCTTATTATAGACATCACACAATATCCTTTACAGCCTTTTTGCATTTCATGGGAGTAGCTTTATTTTGACTGATTCTTCCTTCCTATGCGGAAGAGTCAAAGTCAAAATCTTTTGTCTCTTGGCTCACAAAGAGACGACAGTGAGTCAGGAAAGACTGTAACTAAATTTCTAACAAACTATGATTTTTCTATCTGTATGCTGACTGGATGCATTTAGACTTTCCTAGTGCCCTATCTGGGAAAATGACATTTGAAGAGCTTTAAAAGTTTGACAGGTTTGAAATTCTTAGGGCTAATTTTTATGAGCATTGAATGAATAATGCTGCTCACCAAAAACAGGTTGTGTTCCAAACTCAGTCAGGTAGTGGATCACAACTTTTCTCTTCAGCCCATCTTTATACTGTTAGTATATGCCTCATTTTGTCAGAAGTTTTATGGTTTTTAATTTTTTTTTTTTTTTTTTTTTCCCTGGGGGAAATTAGAAGAGACTTAAGTTTTACAAACCAGTTGCTTTGAAATTGCACACGATTACATTTTTCTGACTCTCAACCTATAAAGAGTTTAGGTTTCTTGTGAAAAGAGCTTTCAATATTTGCTTGTTCTAATGAGAAAGCTGATCCTTGACTGCTTTAATATTGATAAAACATGAGAAGACTAAAACAATCTGTTCGTTTTCTTGGGGAAAGTGCTGAGGTAAACATGCTTAATTTGAGTCCTTCATAAAAATTTCCTTTACCTGGATACATCTAATCCCTTAGCTGAGTCAGGAGTCTGAATATTAAGTTGGCAAAGCTCATATCAGAAGAGGATGCTTTTAGCAGCAGCACCCAAATCCTGAAGAGACAGAGTAGATTTAGGGCTTGATACTCGAAAAATAATTTTTGTGTATGTAAACGAACAAGATCCTATAATTTAACTGCAGTTGTTTGTAGATACAGAAATTACTGTGTGAAATTCATGTTTTGATGTTAACGAGCTGGTAATGCTGATGTCAACAATCCCTGGCCATGACAGTTGTTAAGACATCAGGAAAACATTTCAGTTTATTTTAGGATTCTACATAAACTGTTAAAGATGTAACTTGGTCCCATCATAAACTAACTTCCAGGACCTCTAATTCTTTCGAATCAGAAAAAGCACTCTTAAAGGAAGGTATTTCTTCACCCAGCAGTTGAAGGGAATAAAACTGTTCGGAAGATGTATTTTTTGACCTTGCTGCTTGTTGTTGCTTCACGTGAAATTCTGTCCATCAGTCGCAGTGTAATGCTACTGGACTGGTCCTGAGTGGACCAAGTTCTTTTTTTTTTTTTTTTTTTCTTATGTGTCCCATCTGCATAGGAGACATTTTACAGGGTGTTTTTTGCCATCCAATTGTTTCAATTTGCATTCGGTTTTCAATTGTTTACATGGTAAGCGATTGTTTTCATGGTGTTTCAATTTGCAATTTTTGATTGTTCACATGGCAAACAATTGTTTCCTTATTGACAAGTCTCTATATGGAAGGAAGTAGATGACACTATATGGATTTAAGAAAGAGGACAGAGAAAAGTGAAACACACAGTATGATTGCCCACTTATTTGTGTTTTTATATGATAATCTGAGATCTGCTGAAGGTATTTTAAAAATTTGCTGCAGTATAGAATCTTCTTTTTAGCCAATTGTATGTTACTTAAGTAAGTATTTCCGTTCCTGTCTTGAAAATGATTTCTATATGGCTAAGGAACCAGGAAGTAATCCAGGTACTGTCTAGTTAATCCAATTACTGAGATGTGAAATAAGGGACAGCAAAAAAAGAAATAAAGAAGAAGAAGAAAAAAAGTGTAGAAAAAGTGTGAGTTAATTAGTTATCTGTATCTGGGAATTTAGTGTTAGTGTTCTTGAACTCTCGTCTTCTGTGTGTTCATTCAAGGCTGCTGATACTCCAAAAGGGAATTCTACAGCCTTGCCATTGTCAGTGAAACCACTGTCCAGCAGTTTTGGACAATCTGATGAGTTGATGAGTTTTCTTCTGGAAAACATTCGTGTGAAGATTTGGTTGCACATAAAAAAAGACAGAATGCAAGCGTAGTTTCAGTGTAGGGTTGAGAGCTGAAAAACTTCAAGTTTGGAATATTAGTCCTTACCTGTTTACTTAATTCTGGTGTTCCACTTCTCATACATCATTTAGTTTAAGGACTATATTCAATCTGAAGGTGGCACCTGTAGGGCTGTATTCAAAGCCTGTGAAACCCTGCAGTACGGCTGAGTTCATAATCTTTGCCATTCACCCACTGTCTTTTCAGTGCATCCTTAATGATAGTTCTTTCTTCTGCCAGGAAACTAAAGTGCACATTAGGTGTTACTTTGGAATTCAAGTAGGGCATTATCATTTCATCCTTGGGAAGCTGACATGCTCAGGATTTGGAATGCTTGTGCAAATTTCTTTAGTTTTTAAAAACCTTTTTGGAAGTAATTTGCTTTAATGACATACTTACGACATCCTTTTTTTGGTACCAAAAACTAATGGGATTTTAACCTTGGCTTATTGTATTGAAATGTAGATTTAATTGATTTTCTAACTTTTACTAAGCTGTAGATAAGTCTTAATGTGATTTGTGTTAAAGCATTTAAAGTTTTTGACTTAACCAGTCAGACAGATACCTGCCCATAATTGCATACGGAGGAGAACACAGATAAATTGGAATCTTCTTCTCATTTCAGATTTAATAAAGCTTTTCAGATAGTCTTTCTAAAAGAACACTTCTGAGCTTCAAGACTTGTTGGGTAAAAATAGGGTGTTTTTAACAAGTGTTATTGATTTTTGAAGGCATCTTTCACTACCTTTGATTTCAGTTATCTCTGGAAGTGTTCCAGCAAGACAAAGTTTTTTTCTTTTTTTAAAATACTGCACTCCACTTTATCTGAAAATGTAGAATTTCTGCAATTCAGTTCCTTTCTTTAGATACGGATTGTTTTCAGTCTTCCTGTACTATAGTGCCTGATAGTTCTACCATTTTTGCCAGACTTTGTCTTCTTTTCATTTGGTATTACTTATGCACATACTAATTTGGGTTTAATGAGTCTTCTCTGTTTTCTCCACTAGCATTGACTTTGAGGGAATGTGCTTAGCAAATGTTAGATGAGTCTGACATATATTTTAAAAAAGGAAAGCTTTATTGCACAAATAAACCAGCATATACTCTCAAGTTAATGTTTGATTTGATTATGTTTGTGCAGTTTTGAAGAAAACCATCACTAAGTCTTTTAAATGGGAATCTTTCTGGATTTTACTAGAATTATGTATTAAGCACATTTTTTTTTTTTCAGAAGCATTACACTTGGACCATCTTTGAATTATCAGATATACTTGTTTGGGAATAGGCAAGGAAAATTTTGAAGCTTTTTTGTTTGTGTGGTTTGGTTTTTTAAAAATTATAATCTTTTACCCATACAGAATAGTTTATCTTGCAAAAGATAAGGGGGGTGTTATTAAAATGGAAAAAAAAATTAAGAGGTATGTTTGCATCCAAACTCTCTTTCCTACCATCAAATGTCTAATTTTTGACAACAATGAACTGTCAGAATACTCAATAGATATGTATTTGTATGATAATTACTTAATGTTGGTTCAATGTGGGAAAAAAAATGGTATCTCTACTATTTCAGATTGTATCCAGTTTTAAAACTACAACATCAAGGGCAATCTGTCAACTGGTCAAGGAATATATTGGCCACAGGGATGGCATTTGGGATGTCAGTGTCGCGAAAACTCAACCAGTGGTGCTGGGAACTGCATCTGCTGGTAAAGTTTTGTGTTGCTTGAATCTTTAGATAATTCTGACTTAGTCCCTAAGATATAGCAAATGTAGATCAGAAGCTTGTTTGAATACTTAGCTCGACAGAGAAATAATCTATTTGAAGATGTTTACCAGCTGAAAAATTCTTCAATTGGAGTTGCCTTCAAATGCATTTAACCTTTAGAAGGTTCATGCATCCTTCTTGATCTTTTCAAAGTATGTGCCAGTTAACTTCCATGCAGGTCATGCTCTCCTTGGAGTCTGTTGGGATGGGGTGAATGGGTAGGTTGGGGAGCTGCTTGCTTGGAGAGAGCTCTCACACAGAATGATATTTGGCTGTATACAGAGATGCCTGCAGAGTTTCTGTCATGGTATTGTTTAGCCTTTCTTATATAGAAACATAGACTTAATCATAGAGTGCATATTTTTGTGTATTCTTCAATTCATCTGTTTTTTGCCTAAGGATGTAGGGACAGCAAAAAATCCTTAATTTTCAGTTATTATTAACTTAATAGATTCCTTCCTTCCCCTTTCTGAGGGAACAGGTACTAATGAATAAATCACTAAATCCATCATCCTCCAAAAATCAATGTAGAGGCTTGGAAAACTATTAAGGAAATAAGCCAGAACCAGTTAGAATTGGTCAGTTTGAAGTGACTAAGGCTTTTGAAGCTGGAACAGAGTCTGAAGTCACTTATTGGACATAAATACTATGGACCAGAAACCTCTGCTTCATCAACTGTTACCATTTTTATGTGCCCACTGAGGGACCCACTTTGCCTTTGTGTAGGACATCTTCTCTTTGTCGTGATTTAACTTGGAAAGAGCCATTCTCCAGTTCAGCATTAACATTCTCCCCACTCACAAGTAGTTATATAATTTATTTTGGGGTGTGGCAGGCTAAAGGAGTGGCATTTGCAGTGATTTCTTTTTTAACTAAGTTTTCATAGGGCTCTGCAGTGACCTGTATGCAGGAAGGAAATTGTTTGTGCTGCCCAGAACTCCCGTTTGCAGTGACTGACTGAATTTGTCACCACTAAATGCTCTCTGTATTCTTTCTGAATGTGGAGCATTATACTTAAGTATATAACCAAGTTAGGAAAAATATCAGAGTAGAATTTGTCTTACAGTACTTACTGCACCTTTACTTTTTTTGGGTGCTAAGTTATATGTACTAACTATATTGTTAAGTTCTGAGTATTAAGTTACAATGATAGGAAGCTTTTACATTTTATATGTAAAGATGGTACATGTAGAGCAGACCAAATTCTCTTTTTTATTTGAAATCTCTTTTGTATGTGTGTTCCATATTTAAAGATAACTTTTTTTCAAATTGGTTAAAATTGAAAAACAAGTTTATAACAATATTTACAGCTGCTTTTTAATCTTTGCAGATCACACTGCTTTGCTGTGGAGCATAGAAACAGGGAAGTGCCTAGTCAAGTACGTAGGGCATGTTGGATCAGGTAAGATAAGGGCATGTTGTGAAAACTGGAAACAGTGTGGGAGGGAAAAGGTGTTTTGGACAACTACAGAAATGTTTATTGCAGTTTCACTTGCAGGTTTGCCAACATCATTAACATGTCAGTTGTGAAGTTCCACTTATCTTCATACAGAGAATGTTTTGTAATATGATTCTTTCTTGGAGAAGTGTTCTGAGACAGTTCTGTAACTGCTCAATGAATAAACAAGTCCATGTAAAGAAATTTACAGGCACAGTTGCAACACTCAGAAGATGTCAGAACTCATTGAGGTCTCATGCATATGCAGAGCAAGAGAAGCTTATGTAATCAAAAAATTAGCCATTTTGCAAGTTCTGTGTTACATTTGGGATACAAGATACAGATGCTGGGTGAACATCTGTTTGCACTTCTTTGTTCAGTACGCGATCCCATATATAATTTGTTGCATAGTATTAAAATCTCCTTTTGAAGGCAGTTCAATATATGCATTTGTCTTCCTCTATACAAGTGTGAATATTTTAGAAGGAATGTTTTTTATCCCCTCTGTGGGTGGAGAGGTACAATGCAGTGAGTATTTTTGATGTTAATTTTTGCTGTTCAGTTTGACAAGCACTGGATTATCCCCCTTCTATCTTGTAACGGGTTACAATATAGGGGTTTATAGACCAAAGTTGGAAAGATTTTCCATGGCTTTCACTTGCTGTTGAGCTCTTTGAGTGATCATACCTTGGCGTACGGAGTCAGAAAATGAAGAACACAGTTGTTGACCTGGTACGTTTTGTTAAATAACTCAGCTGGCATATCACACAAACTGTGGCAAAGATACAAATAGAACTAGGTTCTCTAGAGAATGGTCTGCTGCTTCACCCATGAGTTCCCCCTTTTTTTTTTTTTCCTGCTATATGACTTCTATTTCCTACAGCACAAAGATACTAAGAGGTAGAGGCATAGAAACAACAGGTAACACATTAATTCATTCCTCTATCTCAGGTTGCTTCCTACATGGAGAGGGTACCTTTAGCCTCCATGAAGTCATGTTTAAGAACTCAAATCATCTGCATTTTCATGCTGACAGTTTTGTGGCTTTTTTTAATTCCTACCTGGATAACCATAAACATAATAAATAATACAGGTCTAACCTGTATTTGAGAAGTTGTTTGTAAACTAAGTGTATTTATATAAAGTTTATATACACTAATTTATCAAAACAATATGAATTTATAAAACTTATATTTTAAGGTATTTTTAATTTAGTAAAACTTTTCTTTAGTTGCTTATGTTTGTCAGTTGATTTGAAATGGAGCAAAGTTTGGGTGCCAGCAGTTGGTGCACCATTGAGTTAGTTCAGTGTGAACAATTTAAAGAGTATCTTTTTAGACTCATGACACCACACTCTCCGGACAACATAATCATCTCTTTTATTTGTATGGAAGATGGAAATGATTTCTAAGTTCTTTCCTGAAGAACTGTTGAAGGGTAGCTTATGTATTTTGCAAATGAAGGTGCTTAGTAATGAAGAATAACTGAATCTTATTCACTGAAATAAAAAATGAAGAAGAGCTTTGTAGGCTGATAGAATTCTTGTAGGACTATTTTAAAACAACCATCTTTTGATTACATGTGATTGCAGGACGGAAATCGAATTTGTATTATTTTCACTAGGTTGTTAGGCATTTGTTCTTGCAATCTTAAGTAATAATTGGAAAGTTGATGCTCTCATATGGTAAGTTTACGTTATGTTAGAAATAGTTACAAATACTTAAATTCTCTTTATGGAAATCTTCTGTCAGCTTACAGACAATTATTTGTGTTTTTTTTTTTTTTTTTTTTTTTTTTAATCCTCTGTAACTTGTGCTAGATTCAAGAAGTAACTTGCTGGGAAATGTGTATTGAATTATCAACTGTAGCTGCTTTCCTTGATGCTACATAGGTTTATGTGCTCACATAAAATACCATTGTGCTTTATCCCACCGAAGAGATTGCTATAATACAAAAAATCACTTAAAACTGAAGACTTCTTGATTTTTCAATGCTTCTAATGATAAAACACTGTGACAATTCTTTTAGTAAACTAGCTTAAAATTTTACTTTGTTTCACACAGTAAATTCCATAAAGTTTCATCCAACTGAGCAAGTGGCTCTTACAGGTATGTAAAATATTTTCATATGTTGTATGTTAATCATGATGGAAAAATGGTGTATTCACTAGCATCCTTTGGGTTGTGGCCCCTCTCCCTACTGTTCTCTCAGTATCCTTTTCGATCAAATTATTTGTATATTTTAAGGTATAACAAGTCAGAGCTACATCTTTCCGTCTGTGTTTGTCACGTCATTGTTTGTGCTTACCTGCTCCAAAACAGACACTTAGAATTGTACATCAGCTGGATGTTCACGAGGGCATAATGGGATTCATCCTAGAGTACTGAAGGAACTGGCAGATGTTATGGCAGGACCCCTCTTGATCATCTTCCAAAGGTCTTGGGAGTCAGGGGAGGTCTCTGCTGACTGGAAGCTATCCAGTGTTGTTCTGATCTACAAAAAGGTCATGAGGGAAGACCCAGGGTCCTACAGACATGTTAGTCCAACCTCAGTTCCTGGAAAAAAATATGGAGATTACACTGGGTACTGGTTGAAAGGCATTTAAAGAATAATGCAGTCATCAGGCACAGTCAGCATGGGCTCACAAAGGGAAAGTCCTGTTTAACTAATCTGATCTCCTTCTGCAATAAGGTCACCTGCCTAGCAGATGAAGGGAAGGTGATGGGTATGGGCTTTTCTGGGTTTTAGTAAGTCTTCTGGTACTGTACCTCACAGCATCCTTCTGGACAAGTTGTCCAGCTGTGGGGTGATCAGGTTCATGGCATGCTGAGTGAAAAACTGGCTGAAGGACAGAGCTCAGAGGTTTGTAGTGAATGGGGCTACATCTGGCTAGTGACTGCCCGCCAGTGGTATTCCTCAAGACTCAATTCTTTTCAATAGGGCCAGTTCTGTTCAATATATTTTATCAACAATCTGGATGCACCATTGGCAAGTTTGCTGCTGCTACCAAACTGGGAAGTGCTGCTGAGGGACAAGATGCTTTGTGGAGTGGCCTAGATAGATAGGGCAAACCACATCTTAGGGTGCATCAAACACAGTAGAAACAGCTGATCAAAAGAGATCATTGTCCTGCTGTATTCAGCATTGATGTGGCCTCACACACACTGTACTGTGTGCAGTTCTGGTCCCCACAGTTTAGGAAGGATGTGAAGGCCCTTGAATGCATCCATAGGAGGGCAACAAAGCTAATGAAAGGGCTGGAAGGCATGTCCTGTGGGTAGCAGCTGAGGACTTTGGGTTTGTCTAGTTTGGACAGAAGGAGACTGAGAGGTGACCTCATTGCTCTTTACAGCTTCTTAAAGAGGAGAAGTGGAGAGGTAGGTGCTGTTCTCTTCTCCCTGGTATCCAGTGACAGGACTTGTGGGAATGGTTCAGAGCTGCTCCGGGTGAAATTTAGGCTGGACCCTAGGACACATTTCTTTACCAGGAGGGTGGTCAAACACTGGAACAGGCTTCCTAGAGAGGTGGTCAATGCCTCAGGCCTGTCTGTATTTGAGATATTTGGATAATGCCCTTAATGTGCTTTAGCTTTTGGTCATCCCTGAATTGGTCAGGCAGTTGGACTAGATGATCATTGTAGGTCCCTTCCAACTGAAATGATTCCATTCTGTTTCTGTTCCATTCCATTTCTATTCTACCTTACTTAACCCTTTTGAAATACATATTTCCAGAAGTAAAGAAAAAGAATATTGTGGTACTGAGAGTGCAGAAGAAAAACGGCTTGAAAATTTGACTGTTAGTGTAAAGGTGTTTTCAGGACTGAAAATACCATGAGTGCAGCTTCAGGTTGGAACACTATCTGATGTGGCTAATACTGTGGTTCATGTGGTCCAGCAATTAGGGCAATTGTTAGCAATTAGGCTAACAATGACTTAAGTTTGGCTATTTGGATTTTCCTGTTCTGATATACTATCTGTAGCCCTTGATTCAGTACCATAAACAATGTTGCTACTTAAACTGACTTACAAAAAATCAAAGCAAATGAACCAGCCAAACTGCCCACAGCTAGATTTTTGTTCTGTTCTTTTTCTGAAATGTGGTCCTGCAAGTATGTCCACTGAAAGCTTTCAGGGGACCTGTTCTTCACTGTCACTTGATTGATTTAGGGCTGAATAAGAGAAGAAAATCCTCCCTGATCCAGAATACTGCGACCATAAATAATACAAGGTTGACCTTTCTCCTAGCCTTCTTACTTGCTCTATGAGATATTTTTCTTAATGCTTTCATGTACGTTGCACTTGCCAGAGCTATGCATACTCCTAACAAGCTGGTTTTCTTCTGAATCTAGAACTCCCATAACTGTACCCCTAGGTGTTAGAGCATGTTTGTTCTGCCCATAAGAAGGAGAATCTTGACTTTCTCTTTAATTAATAATGGATAAATCTATTTCAAAGCCAAATGAAGTCTAAAATCATATGGTACCTGCTGAGCTGTAAACTGAGCTGTAAACTGTAAGCTGAGTTGCTTAAGGCAGAAGCATAATAGCTGCACGCTTGTTCCTTAGCATGGTTTTAATGAGAAACCCCAAAAAAACATTTAATAAAAGCAATCATTGAATGAAGAATTTGAGTATTTTGAGAAATAGCAGATGAAGGATGGCACCTGTTGATATATCAAATGACTTCTTCAAATATTACATATTAGAACGGCAGTGATCTTTGTGTTCTGATGTGCAGTATTTAAATGGAATTTTTCACTGTAGGAATTACTGATTTGGTAACTACTTAACACTTTGCATAATGAATTATATTCTTATCAATATTGAAGCCAGAAAAGTGACTGTTCATGTTGAGACTTGCTTATCAAAAAGATCGTAATAGTATCTGTTAGAAGAAGATGCAACTCAGACAGTGTTGCCCAATGTAATATTAAAGCTTGTGTTATTGTCCATGAAAATGCTCTTATTTAGTCTTTCTTTCTCACCTCTCTGCTCTGTGCAGCATCTGGAGACCAGACAGCTCACATCTGGAGATACATAGTACAGTTGCCTACACCTCAGCCAACTGCAGACTGCAATGTAAGCAATCAACTTACTGCAGCTAAAGTAATTGCAGAGCAATTTCATCAGATGCAGGTTTTATGATGAGGCAAATATGAAATCTATACATAATTAAAAAATTACATGATTTCAGAATTGTAAAAGGTGTGATATTGAAGTTTTAGTTTTAACAGATGTATCTCAGCCTTTTTTTCAAAAAAGACTCTCTCCATGTTTTCAAAGATACATAGTGCAGAATAGAATATACAACTGCAAGTACATTAATTGACTTTTTTCTTCATGGTAATAAATCTGTAAGTAAATGAACTGTGGAGTAAAATTTTTTGATAATAATTCAAATAATAAATAATTAAGTTATTTTTAAACTAGTTAAAGTCTTGTAGCTTAAGTGACTGAGGCATTTCTATTACCTATAGTTACTATAAATTGAAAACTGATGGTAAAGACTTGTATTTTTGGCATTCATTTAATTGAATCTTTATTGATTGCTAATCAACCTTTGCCAGCACTCATCACGCTGTGTGATAGTTTTGTCCCCAGGCTTTTATTTAAGTCTTTATTGTCGACTGTCAAATGCTGCATTTGACTTAAAAGGACCCCTGCTAAACTGTGAAGACAAATACAGTTTCTAGCAGGAGCTTTTCAGTAAACTGAGTAGGGGCAAGAGATGGCTGTATAATATGAGATACATTTCTGAATGGAAAATTCTTACTTGGTTTAGCATTTCCATTTTGAAGGAGCCATACAAATGTTACCTTTTTCACATCCATATATCATGAAAAGAGTATTAGTCTTGCATAAGTGAAATAGAGTTCAGAGACTGATGCTTCACAGTTAGCAAAAGGATTTATTTTGCATCCAGTTTACATCAGCACTGCACAATAACTATGCATTGGCCAGCAGACAAATATTTATGTCACGATTTTGATTCTAATGGATAAAAATGCAGCTCTGAATGGTTGTCTTTCCAATCAGAAACAGTCAGTAACCTGTTAGGTGTTTCCTGCTTTTAAAAATGGAAAGGAAAAAGAGTCCCTAGATACATGTGCTGCAATAAAAGTTGAGGGCAGTACAGTAAAGGGGATTATAAAAAGGTTTACCAGATGGTATAGGGGCAGATCCTCAGAGCTAAACAGTTTGGAAGAAGTAGTTATTAAAACTGCATTTAACTCACTGGCATTATTCCTCCAACTAAGTTTTTGATCATGAGTACCTGTATTGCTGAGATTCCACAGAAATAAGTTACTCATTCACATTAAAGGGTTTGGGAAGCATTTACACTGTTAAATACAACTTAGAGACGTTCCTTCCCTTTTATTCTAAGTCTTTTTTTCTCTTGCCTTTTACAGCAAGTGTCTGGAGAAGATGAAGTTGAGATCTCAGATAAAGATGAACCCGATGGAGATGGAGATGGTTCTAGTGATTGTCCCACTGTCAGAGTTCCATTAACTTCACTCAAAAGCCATCAAGGAGTTGTCATAGCAGCTGACTGGCTTGTTGGGGGGAAGCAAGCTGTGACCGCATCGTGGGATAGGACGGCAAATCTGTATGATGTGGAGACTTCTGAACTTGTCCACTCTCTCACAGGTATTTGTTCACTCACAAAAAGAGAAATCTGTGGTTTATTTTTATATATGGGCCTATTTGTACATACTGAAACATTGGGAAAAGTTCTTTCTGTGGAGTAGGATGAGAGTGTGCACAAGACTTAAGCTGCTGCTCAACCGACCTTCTAGATCTTGTGAGCATGAGTTTGTGTTCTTTTAAGCTTGTGATATAACCTATGAAAGTAGTTGTTTTTAAACTGCATGTTGCCAAATTTTAGTTCCTGAAAAATGCTTTTGCTGTACTCATGGCATGTCAAGTAACAATAACATCACTACTTAATAACAATGTGAAACAAGTAGTAGGGTTTTTTGCTTTTAAATACACTTCCAAACTTTTACAGTAGTAGGAACATGAAAGTTCAGAATTATTATTTTCTTTTGGGGGAAAAAGAAAAAAAGCATCAGCATTTCATTCCAAGTGTATGTGGAAATGAAGTCTTATTTTCATTACCTTATGTATTCTTTTCTGTGATTGTAGGGCATGACCAAGAGCTAACACATTGTTGTACACATCCCACCCAGCGTCTTGTGGTGACATCATCACGCGATACAACCTTCCGTCTGTGGGATTTCAGAGATCCTTCTATCCATTCTGTGAATGTCTTTCAGGGCCACACAGAGTAAGTGACAGTTCCTTCACGGGTTTTCACAAGTTCCAGAAGTGTAAATGTATTCAGTAGCTAATTTGAATAAAACTGTTCCTGTGCTCTTTTTGAGGTGCTAAGTTCATTCCCCTGTTTTATGTGACTGATTTTCACAGAACTCCCTAACTGTCCTCCTTCAAATGTAACACAGCAGTACTTAATTTCCAGAACAGCAGTCAGGGCTTTGGTGTGATATTGCTTATATGGTAAGTTGAGCTAAAATTCTTTCCAGTTAAAGGTAATTTAAGGTATGAGGTTGTTTTTGGCACTAGGGTTATGGTAGTTCACAGCTATTTCTGTAGTGCAGGTGTGGAACCACATTCCCTCTGCTTGTCACGATATTTGGTGTGAAATAAAAGTTACTGCTTTGGAACCAGTGGGATAAAAATAGAAGGATCAATTTTTACTCTTTCAGCTAAGGATTCGAATTTATATATAAAATAGGAAATGAGAGTAAGGGCACTCAAGACCATGTTCTTTTGAAACAGTGGTTTTGGTGTCACATTTTTGGTTTCCGCTTTAGGTCTTTATACTGACTGCTGTTGAATATGGGAAGCACAGTCACAAGAATCTGTGTTATGCTGGTGACTCACCTGTCTGCTCCTTGGGGCTGTGATACACAGAAAATGCTGCAGTTGCTTTGAAAAACTTTACCCAAGGAAGCAAATATTTTTTAAGATTTTGGACTGTTTGAACTTAAGTGTTTCAGAAAGAAATTTCACTTCCCATCTGCAGCATAAAAGATGATTGTTGGTTCTAGCTCAAAACAAAAAACACAAATATTTATTCCCATTTCTGTTTTCTAATTCAGATGTGTAGCTTGCGTTATATCTGAGTTTCAGGATCCACTTTTTGATTTTTCCCTGTTGTTGACTAACAAGATAAAGTATAACCTCTTTAAACCACCCCCTCCCCAGATCCCTGAACTTGATAAATTATTTGGTGCGTGACAGTCATCCCATGTAAGTAGCCATTGTCTCCTGGTAGAAGAGTAAACTCCTCTTTGTGGTCTGCATCTTGGAATTGTTTCATGCTGTCATTTTTGTACTCTTCTATTGCTTTTTCTAGAACCACTTGTAGAAGTTGGAAGTTTTTGCATCCATGGTTGCCTCCATTTCTGAGCTAATTTATTGCTTTGTCCCAGGACATTTTTTGAGAGAAAGGAATGTGATTGGTTTTAGTGTTTTTCCGTATGTATGCTGAGACCGAGTGACATTGTTCTGGGGTGACGGCACGTACTGTCAAAGCGGTTAGCGGGTATTTTGGCATCCACCACTGACACCTGTAAACTATCAAGGAGTTTCTTTTTTATGAAGGATAGACTTTGAGCAACCTCTTTGGTCCCTCTTATTCTGGCTTCTGATTGTCTACATACTTGTGGTCGTCTGTTGTATCGCTTGTCTACGTTTTGCTCATTGAATGTGGGAGTTTTTGGTATTGACAACTTTTAGAAGTCTCAAATGTGACTTTACTGTTTAATGGCTCAGGTTATCGGTGTCTGGGCTTTGCTGAAATGATGACTCCATTATGGACAAAGTGTTTCACTGGGGAATGCAGCCGGGGACCTCCACATTTTGCAGCACAGAGATACTCTGAAGGATTTTCTTTTTGGTCCATTATTGCACTGCCTGTTGGCAAAATGTTTTTAAATTACTGTCAAATCAAGACTGTAGCAGTCTTCTCACATGAAGCACTAGAGAAGAAACTTTTATCTGTTGACTGGAAAATACAAATGCAAAAGATATTTTCTGGTTTTCCTGAATATCTCTTTGGAAAATTTGCCAAATTTTTAATTTTGATAGGCTCTTGGAGTCAGTTCTGTAATCTGGATGTTACAGTCGTTAATGCTGATGATTTAAAGTCCTCAAGCATGAGTTTTAGCAGGCTCTTGCTGAGCAGCACCTGAGGAGCAGCCGTCCAGACCGGCTATCTTTTTTTCCCCCGCGTATTTCAACCGACCAGCCCCGCATGCCTTACTGCCCGGTAAGGCGGTGCCGACGCCGCCCCGGCTCGGCCCCGGCTCTGGCTC